CTGCATCCTGACCAGCCCTGGCCATGATTGCACTGCATCCTGACCAGCCCTGGCCATGATTGCAATGCATCCTGACCAGCCCTGGCTGTTTCAGGAAGAACATGTCCTCTCATGCTGTATTCACTCCAAACTACTCTGCCAGTTTTTGTTCATATGACCACAAAATTAACTATATGGAGCTTAATGTTCTCAGCAGTGGTCTCTGATATCCAAAGACCAAAGTTGGACACATAACGTCATGCCAACAATGACAACAATCACATCAGAAAAACAGAATACAGCCAAAATTGCATCATCAATTGAGAGAAGTCTAATCAGAACATTTGCCCTCCTGACAAATGTTGGATGAAGGTGTTCTTCAAGTCCAAATCAATGTGCACTTGTAAAGTATCAGGGAATCTGTGTTTACAGCAATGGTGTTAACTCTCTTAGTTTCTGAAGAACTTGAAGTGGAATGTTTTCACTGAAATAAATCAGTCTTCAAGTATGTGTTTGATTGTTCCAGTCACAATTTATGCTTTTGTCTTTCGACGGATGAATCCACCACGATACCAAGTTGGTCATCACTAAGTTTAATGATCAACGTGCTCAGCAAATTTTCTCACGCTCTCCATCATGTCAGAATAAAAAAGCACAGTACATATAACCAAGTGATTTCAACTAAAAAACAGAAGACGAGAACAAGGGGGCAAGAAACTAAGACAGTTGTGGTCCCAAGGGGAAACCTCTTTGCCTCATTGAGGATTTTGGAGGACTGAGTGAATAAGAGGCTTTTATCCCAGGAGGAAATTGAAGGATCAGTGTGACACATAAGGGTTTGAAGATTCAGATTACTGGGGACTTGCGTTAAAAAAAGACTTACAAAAAACTGAAACTGAAGTCATAGAGGGAAATAATGGCCCTCAAGTAAAACAGATCTACAGTGTACAAGACTTGCCATGTACGTGCAATAAATGAATTGAAAGAGAACCCCTTGGAAGGCAGCTTACATGAAAATTATGAAAAACATGAAAAAATTTGCCTGCCATGCCCCCTGTTAATTTTGTAGAGGCAACTCTGGGCAATCATGTCAGCAGTAGGGTCACTGTTGATTGGTTTTCTTACTTCTGCAATATCTGCTCACGGTTGATGTTGGATCACCCACAGCAGATTGGTGGACCAGTGTGCATTGTGGGAAAAGATGAGTGCTTGCCGAGGAGCAAACGAAAGTACAACTGCGGGCGTGTCCTTCCTCCAGTGGACAGTGGGTCTTTGGTGCGTGGGACGGCATCTTGGTATTACCACTGTATTGACTGTTCCTAATTGGGAACAAGCACCACTCCTGTTGATCTAGAGCTATATCCTACCACCATGTTCTGAGGGGGCAGCCATGTGTGATACCCTTGATAGACCGGCTAGGGTGCCATCACAACACAAGGGTGTTGTTCACCATGTGGAATTTGTCGTAACAAATGCCTATGGCGTTGAAGTCCATACAGACAGCACTGAAGGACAGTTGAGCAACATCAAGGCAGAAATGAAAAGGATGAGATTGCAACAAGTGCTGCCCCAGCATCTTAATGAGCTCGTGTACCACAAACACTGACAAAGCAAAGGGAATATATTTGTATTTAAATGGCTCGTCAATGACATCACAGGATATTACCCTACCCCTTGTGAAATCCAGTGGGCCTATTATCAAGCTCAAAACCCTTCACAAGTTGAAATGTTGGATTGCCACAGTCACAATGTTCCAGTTCACAACGTTTTCTCTCTTATGATCTTCAGCTGTGTTTCAATTAGCGCATTTTAGCTTCACTTCTTCTGAAATTTATCACTTCTATATTTGAGTTGGACCGGAAGAGTGCAGTCGTGCAAGCCTTTTAGCCGGTGTAATATCCCTTGCATGGAACACCTTATAAAAGCGTATCCATCATCAACTGATTTGAAGTAAAATGGCAAGTCCCAATTTAGTCTGTAAGAAAATTGTGTGTTCTACTTATATATTCTTGAAACTTACCTCAACTGGAGCTATTAGGATTAAGGAACAAAAATGCTCAAGGTCAAGAGGTCAGTTATTTTGTAAAAACGGAGGTTTCCTTGTTATAGGAACAGGGATAGGAAGATAAGAAACATCAACAGTTATTTCTGCCTAAACATTTCTAAAGTTTTCTATTTAAATAGGAGCAAAATTTTGTAAGTTGAACAACATTTAAGTAGAATCAACGGTAACAATGTTATTTATTAAAAAACTGACATTTATATTACAAAGATTGTGTCAAGAGTTCTGTGGGACTGAATTCCATGTACAGTCTCAAATCATTGCACTGACAAATACGTTCACTTGGATCTCTATCAAGTATGCTGGAAGTTCTGACGTAGGAGTGTTCAAATGTAGTGATATACCTGTGAAAATTGGAGGAAGGGCACTTTCAAGAAGTCATACAGCATGAAAGGACCAGATTTCCTTCATAACAGACACACAGATAGCATTCAACTCACGATGAGTAGAGAGAGAATTCAAGATGTACAAGGAGATGCGGTAAACACAACAGCACCCAGATGCTTGAAAGTCAGAAGGGAAACAGGAAAGCAGGGTAAGCTTTGGGTCAGAAGTCAAGGCTCTCAAGTGTGAATGCCAGGATTGGAAGTGCACATTCCTGCCATGCAAGCACTTCTGTGCTGTCATTTCAAACACTGACTTGACGCGGGAGGACTTGCCTGTGTCGTACAGACCCTCCAACCTCACCGGCTCACAACCCCCCAAGATTCTGGCAACAACCTCCATGGTGATCCCACTACAGACATAACCTCATCTAACCAATCGCAAGACAAGGGAACTGATGAGCCTCCCCAGCATGTCAAATCTCCTGCAAATGAAATAATAAAAAGACAACATCAACGTCAGGACGCCAGCAAACATCTTTACAATGAATCATTTCCATGTCTCGATCTCGATACTCTTGAAACAACATCGCTCCAAATAAGATATTTCATCAAGAAATTGAGCAAAGGGTTTGTAAAAGATGGGGGATTTCACTGCATTCGAAGAAGGGTGCTGCTGGAATGATGCCACAGGAAATTCTATCCACACAAAGGGGGAAGACAAAAGTAAGTTACATAACTAAGAACACAGTCACATTTGCAGTGTGCCCAATTTGCAAAAACAAGTTGTTTCCACCTGGTATAAAGGAAATCACAGTATCGTTTGAAAGTGAGTTACTGCTACTCGCTGATGTGGACACTCATAATGAAGCGCCCTCCGGGCCTTAAGGCCAACTATCAACAGGTGTCTTGGAACCCTGGCTGCCTATGACAAACAGTGAAGAAACAGACAAATATCGGTCTATCCAGCAATTTGTGTCCTGTTTGGGAACATCGCCACCGCTGATGGCAGACCACAAATGCTACAGGCAGAAACTGAGAGGGGAGAATGGTCAAAATCAATCAAGGGATATGAAGAAAGCAGTTGGGAGGAGAACACGGAGAACCCAGGGGAAAGCCTGGAAGGTGGCAAGAAAACGAAAAACACAGATGCAAAAAGTAAAAAAAAGGCAGTATAGAGGAGTATGAGGTCAGCTCCAAGCAAAAAAAGCAGAAGAGATGAAAACATCTGATACAAGGCATAGGTAAGGAAGAGAAAACAAGCAGACGGATGACACACCAACAGAAAAAGAGACCAAACCTATCAAAAAAAGACAGGGGAAAGAAACGTGTAGAAAGGGGTCAAGAAAGCAGGAGTGGAAAAATGTAACGGCAAACAGTTTGGGGTCCAGTCCATAAAACACACCGTCTCGCTGCTAACCAAGAAAATGCATAAAGTAGTCCATCCTAAGACCATCAGACTCGCATTTTGTTTGATTTATTGAAGTTGATAGGATTGATACAGCAAGGACTGCTAATATTTAGCAGGTTCTGACTACTGCATGGTGTGTATGCGTCGGGTTGTTCCATTTTTGTGAGATGTGGGTACCGTTTTAAGTGCAACAGCCCATGCAGTAACAAAATACAGGTTTAAATTCAGTTTTTGGGTCATATGAATAAAAACTGGCACATAATATGGAACAGCAGCACAAGAAATGACAGATTCTACTCTCCGACTGTACAAGGATCTTCTACATCATGTCAAATGACATCACTCCCTACAGACTGCCAGTACATCAGCTGGAACTCAAATTTTGGTGACAAGAATTGACTGTGCCGTATTTGGCACAAATTTTGAGCAATTTGCACATATTCCAAACATTTTGCAAACTGCATGTACACGCACCTGGTGGCGTTACAAGTGCATTTGTAATTATTTTACAAAGACAGCTGTCTGTGAGAGGGGTCTATACTCTACATGGATAAACTTACATTAGCTGCAGAGCTCACATTCTGAGGCACTCATAAAATGCACCAATTAAATAGGTTTAAATACGGGATGTCTTTCATCTTTAGCAAACACACAAACACTTTTTACCTTATGAACAGGCATAACTACTTCACAGCACCAAGATGAAATTGCCAAACTTCTGTCAGCGAGGAGACACCAAATTAAAGAACACGACTATTCTACAAAACTTTGGTAATACAATCGGCAGCATGACTTGAAACAAGAACGCCGCAGTGAAAATCCACAGAGAATGTTACCGCGCAAAAATCTGACGGCAAATTCTTACAACAAACGTAAACTAAAAGCAGATACTGCTTTTAACTGATAGGATTTGGTGTTTGCAGGTGCAAACGCATCAAAGGATGTGAGGCACGGAATCCATCTCAAGGCAAACAAACCACAATCTCTCATCTATATATATAACGTCGGCCGCACAGTCTTCTCCCAATTCTCCTCCCATCTTTCCGTCTGAAATTGCTGAAGATTTTCCTTGAACTTCTGAAGCTGTTGCTGGTCTTCGGGAAATCCTCGAAGTAACTCCTTCACATAAAGGAATATCAAGCACGCATTAGGAATGACTGGATATGAATTAAATCTCTGATCTCACTGGTACATCATAACAATGCCCAATTTCACAGCACTTCTTAAAGCGTGCAAGTTGTGCTTCCTACCACTGCCTACAGCACCAAATCAACCTACCACTTAACCCTAAAAACACCGAAGGGGGGGAGGTTGCAGAATCTGACCCCTCAACCCTTTTTCTGACATCGCCGCAGTTTTTCTTTCAGGAGCTCAGCCTTTAGGAGGTTTTTTTTCAGTATCTGCAGTCCTATTGACAGGAATTTTGTGTAACTGAACAAACTGTTCTCACTCAGTGCCCATTTTTCCGAGACAGGTCAGCTGAAATGTATACTTTTTTCGCTGCGGTGCTCAATGCCCATGGGCCGGCACGCACCTGTATGTAGTCTTGAACCTCAAATGACTGTAAACACACAACCATACATCTGATGGAGTAAATACTCTACATTTGCACCGATAAAGAGTATTTTTTTTTAAATACCAGACGACCAAATTCTGGTCCAAATAACCCAGCCCTTTTTAGGTTAAGCACTATTTAAAAACTTGAATAACAAACAGTTGCACGAGTGTGGCTATTTATGCCACTGGTTTAAGCACCTTAAGGTTTAAGGGTTAAGCATGCTTGTCCTTTGCTTGCTGATTAACTGAGAATCAGTGCCAAGGGCAGAGGTTTTATGTAAACAAAGAAGGTGCAGCACAAGAGAAAATCCCCGATGAAACTCTCGACACTGAAGGTGCATTTTATTTTTAACCCTCCTATGCTGAAGTCACTCTTTGGGTCACTTGGTGAACACCTCAAAGAAGCACAGCTGTGTCGTGTTGTG